TTAAAGAAATACAGCGCAGCCTTGTCAAATGAACTTGTACACAGAAAAAAAAAATTAACACACTAAAATTGAAAACCTACAATTAATCGCTGCCTTGTTTTTTTAAAAGTAAAATCAAAGTGGTGGTAAAGTTACAGCCTGCACTGATTAGGTTGTGCATCTTTTCAGCCACTTTAAATCGAATGACAGTATTTATTATGAAAAGTTAAATGGACTTTCTTTAGTGTAACTTGACAGAGAAGATGTAGCCTAAGTTAAACAGATATTCCTTCTCTTTTTTTCAGATTAAAAAAATTCAGACCACTTTTTAATGACTTATCAGTTGGGATATTTTAACAGTCTACATACTGCGGTCTTTGCAACAGTTCAATTTATTTAGTAAAAGGCAAACTCAGCTGCATTTTATTTGACATGTTTTGTAATGTAAAGCCTATTGCACTCAACTATTTCCACATTTTCTATAATGCGTAAGTATATATTTTTTCATTACATAGTTTCAGTGTGGATCTATACGCGTATTGAATTGCAATTACAAAGTTTGCTGTTTCTTTGCGGAGACTGGCTCTTAAGTGTTAATATGTAAACTGAATGATTGAACGCAGTCCCGGTTGTGCCCTAAACCCGGCCGCGCGCCATTGGCCACCCGCTCAAACGCTAAACAACCAATGGAGTGGCGCCGACCACGAGCCATCCTCCCCTCGGGCCGCGTGTCCCTCGCGCTGATTGGTAGAAAGTTACTGTGGGAAAGAAAGTTTGGGAAGTTTCACACGAGCCGTTCGCGTGCAGTCGGAGATATAAATAAGACCAACACGACGCTGAGGCAGGCAGTTGCTACGACCGCTGGCAAACGGTGAAATCAGAGACTGTGACATCATTGCCGCACCAGTTGAACTCGGGACACTTCGTGCGGATATCCATTCATATCTGGAACTGTATCTGCGTACTTTACTGCGTGTACTCTAACAGAAGATACTGAACAGGAGGATTTCTTTAAAAAACAAATCTCATAGGATAGGATACTTCCCAGAGAAGATGCCTGCCGACATCATGGAAAAAAACTCCTCTTCTCCGGTTGCCGCGACTCCAGCGAGCATGAACAGTACACCTGATAAACCCAAAACGGCTTCGGAGCATAGAAAGGTTTGTATTGATATTACACAGTACTGCATTTATTTCCAAACATCGCACATGTGCGCATTAGATTACATTGCAAGAAATAGTTCCCGAAGTTAATAGACATATTTCTTTTGCACTTTAGTCTTCTAAACCCATAATGGAGAAAAGAAGAAGAGCGAGAATCAACGAAAGCTTGGGTCAGCTGAAAACGTTAATCTTAGACGCCTTGAAAAAAGATGTAAGTACTGAAAGTCCGATTGATTCTAACAATTATATGGGTTAAATATTAATGCATCTCTTTACATAGCCGCTTATCTAAACCAATCTCTCTCTTCTTTTTTTTTACACAGAGCTCGAGACACTCCAAACTCGAGAAAGCGGACATCCTGGAGATGACAGTGAAACATCTCAGAAACATGCAGCGGGCACAAATGACCGGTAAGTCGCGGATCTAATGAATATTCGTAAAAAATAGTTTTTGAGAACTTCTAGAAACTCGGCTGCAGTTTTTTACGCAGCGTTTCTCTCTGTAGTCTACACTTGTTTTACATGTTGCAAGATTCGTTTTCTAGATAGAATATAACTAGTTATAGAGCAAATTCATGTTCAGCTACTCAAGATGATCTGACCGAAAGTCTTTCCTCGTTTTCTTTACAGCTGCGCTGAACACGGATCCCACGGTTCTTGGGAAATACAGAGCTGGATTCAGTGAGTGCATGAACGAGGTGACCCGGTTCCTGTCCACCTGTGAAGGGGTTAACACCGAGGTCAGGACCCGGCTGCTGGGTCACCTAGCCAGCTGCATGACGCAGATCAACGCAATGAATTACCCAACACAGCACCAGATACCTACCGGGCCTCCTCATCCATCCTTCAGTCAACCGATGGTTCAAATCCCCAGCGCGACTCAACAAGCCAACGTTGTGCCTCTTAGCGGAGTCCCCTGCAAAAGCGCGTCTTCCTCCAACTTGACTTCTGACGCAACAAAAGTTTACGGAGGTTTCCAACTTGTGCCGGCAACGGACGGACAGTTCGCCTTTTTGATTCCCAACGGTGCCTTTGCTCCAAACGGCCCCGTTATTCCAGTGTATGCTAACAATTCCAGCACACCGGTTCCGGTGGCCGTGTCTCCGGGAGCACCGTCAGTCACGGCAGATTCCGTTTGGAGGCCTTGGTAGACAAAAAAAAAAAAAAAAAAAAAAAAACTCTTTAAGACAAATTACACTTGTTTTCTTTGTTCAGCGTTTACTTTTTTTGTTCTTTTTTGTATGAAAATGTGTTTTAATGAGATGATGCACTATATTTGTATAGATCAAAAGGGAGAGAAGTTCATATTGAAATAAGTTTTGTATTGTTGAATTCCGTTCAATGCATTTTTATATTTGCGGTATCTTTTCCACGTTGTGATGCCAAAGATATGTTGAATGCGCTTTCAAGTTTCTTCATTTTGGAAGATAAATAAATTACATATAAAAAAATGAAACGTTTTGCCTCATTAGTTGTATTGTGTTTTCGGTTTGTTATGATTATTCTTACTTTAAGCAAATATTCGGGCCGTATCGCATGCAAATTAAGGCTAAACATGCAGTCTTTAAAGAAGCTTGTTTGCTACTCTTAATCATTGTCAAGCACAAACTCAGGAAAACTTAGCCTATGTCAAATCACGGCGGCGGACAAGACATTAAACGGCCCTCAGTGTAGTATGGATTTACATTGCGATCAGTAGGTTGCCCTACGTCTTAAAAGTTTTTTTTTTTTTTTTTTTTTTTTTTTCTGTTAAACATTACAATCAACTGATAAATCTACATCTGTCACTCACAGCCTCGTTTTCATTCTCGGGAAAAAAAATTACGTCTACTAGGAATAGTCACAGGTTGTGACTGGTCATACAATTTATAGATTATATTGATTGATATAGTGAAACCCACGTTTTTTAAATATAAACTACATAGTTATGTTTATAATAGCCTGCTTTTCTCTTATCGCTAAAGAGAAATATCATAAAACTTGAAGTTTAATTAAATGTAGATTCTCTAGATGCTATGTCGAACACAGGACGATAGGCTATTGGAATAAGGTTGAATTAATGGCATATCGCTTTAATACACACCTAGCCTGGGGATTTTATCACAATAAATAGGAACATTAGGTATTGAACGATTAATGTCTGTAAATGAGTGTGACATGCAGACAGCCATCAAGAGGATTACTAGAGTCTGAAGCTGAATGTAGCATCAAAGTTCAGTAGCAGAGAGAAGTACGAGTGACGATTTTTATTACACAACCATTTAGCGCCATCTAGTAATTCAAATGTGAACTACAGTGAGTCAACGAGCGGATTGGTCAACACTTTCAGTTTGAAAGAATTTAAGGACATTTACCCAGCCACGTTACTAGCATAATGCCATGTTAACATACATTTTTATTTATTTATTTATAAGCATTTGCATCAAAAAATAAAAAAATATGATTAAAAAAACAATGAACTCAATAAATGATTATGATAATAAAGTAATGAAAAGTGGCCTACTTATTACATATGCTTTTATCTCTGTGTGGGCATAAAGGATGCAGAAATATTTACACACAACTCATATGGCTTTTATTTAGAGTAAAATGGGAAAACGCTTGACATGATGAAACGTTTCCTTCTCGCATCCCTGTGTTTTCCAGGTGTGTGTTGCCTATAGCTATTTCAGTGTGGCCATTCTTTGAAGGGGGCATTGCAGGTGTTTGCAATTACCTGCTTTGAGGCACAAAGTGCAGATAAGTGCAATCATTTTGAATTTCCATCACACCTTTTGTGGTGCCGAGAGTATAGAGATTGGAACCACATGTTGCCTGCAAGGACATGCTCATCTCGAAATGCATACATGGTGGGTCAGCCTGCTTTGCCCACCTTAACTTTGAGCACAACACCACCTCAACAGATCCCCAATGATGTGGCGGACCATGCATTAATTTCCTGTTTATTCCAAGGCGAGCAGTGCAACCCAAAAAACAGCCCGACCCCCTTCAGGCGTGCTTCCCCCTGCCCGCCTTGCTACAACCTGCCTCTGGAGGACAGCTTTACGAGGGTCTCAGGTTACTGGCGCACTGACCACTGTGCCGGGGCACCCGTGCACATGTCACAACATGACCGGAGGGTTAGCCGGCATGTATGTCAATTAACTTTTCCCACACTCTCTGCAAATGCAAGAGGCTTGAGAGGAGAAAGGAGGAGGGGGGAAAGGGAGAAAAATAAAAAGGACTAAACGAAAGCCCCCTCTCTGCTTCCTCCTTGGCTCTTAAGTGTTACCATATGGCACGAACTCTCTCTCGCTCTCTTTCTTTGCCTCATTCTATCTCTCTCTCTCCTTCTTTCTCTCTCTTAACTCGTCATCATTACCGCCTTGTCTTTGATTGTAGCCCTGACAAGCCTGGGATTTATGATTTAAGCACAGGGATTGCTGTACCAAGCTCTGGACTCACTATGCAGCCCTCTTTCTCTCATTCGCACTCCTTTTCCCTCTCTCGCCCTCTCCTGCAGTTGCAGGGGAAAGGCTGTTTTCTGGCAGGAAATGAATAGCTCCCAGATGAGCTGAGGAACCTGAGAGGTCGTGAGAAAGAGGCGAACCCCCTTCCCACAGCCGGCGCACTGCCAGCCGCCGGGGGAATGTGGGAGAGCGTCTCTCTGACACACGCATCAACTCTCCCGCTGCTTGCCCAAACACCCCACCGCCTGCCTGCCAGCAAGCGCTGACGCACAGGGCCCATCTGAGGGGGGTAGAGTGGAGCTGATTGGGGCAGAATGTGGGAAGCTTGACAGCAGAGACGAGGACAGGGGACAGGAAGGAGGATGGAATGATGGAAGCCACGACGAGAAGCACATGTTCACTAAATATACAGTTACAGAAGTGGTGTTTGTAGAAGGTGATATCATTCAAAGAGAAGCAGGAGTTCGATAGTCAGTTACAACTAGCTGCAAATACAGAACAACAAATGTATTATTCATAATCAATCAATTTACTCTTTATCTTCTTGCTAACAAAAATGTGGTTTTCACTGTGCCAAAAAAAGTGTCTTTTATATAAAGGAAGCTTTGGTTTGAGACTGAGAGCCTCTGAACAACTTTTTTAAGTTCTCAGACAGGAGAAGCAGTGGTCAAGGGTTTCATTCTGACTGGAGCAAATAAGGATTAATGTGAGTGACCGATGAGTAATCAAAGTGGCACATTTGGCACAGTGAATGAGGGAGATGGCAAAAGATCTGCAGCATTTAAAGTTTAAAAAGCTTAAAGGAATATAATAATAATAATAATAATAATTCATTACATTTATATAGCGCTTTTCTGGACACTCAAAGCGCTTTACATTGAAGGGGGAATCTCCTCAACCACAATATGAATGCAATATGGGAATTCTTTATTTTGTCTATGGCAAGGAAATAGGATCATCTGAAAATGAATCATAGACAATTCACTTAGTAGATATTTTGGCTTATTGTGGCTTGTCAATATGTGTAACAATCACGGAATACACATATTACACATTTGATTAAAAATACAGTAAAAGTAATATTGTTAGCTTATATAAAGAACTATTTTTCTATGTTAATATATTTTAAAATTAAATGTGTTGTAGGCAAAGCTGAATTTTCAGCAGCCATTACTCCAGTCTTCATTCACATGATCCTTCAGAAATCATTCTAATATGCCAATTTGAAGTATTTCTTATTATTTTCAATGCTGAAAACAGATGCACTGCTTTATATTTTTGTGGAATCCGATAAAAAAATTTCCCCACGATTCTTTGATCAAGTTTAAAAGAGATATACTGTCATATAACTATCCAGCCTTTTCACAATGTAACCAAACATTTTACACTTAGACAGGATATACTTGCCGATCACAATTTTTCTCTTTGATACAGACTTTAAAGTCACAATAAGGGTATAAAACACAATATTTGAACCCGATCGGTAGCTCTTTGAGTCTTGCACCCACCATTTTGTTCTAAATCTTATAATTAATACTTAATTACTTAATAATTAGCTACTAAATATGCGAGTTGTCAGTTTTTACATTGAATGTGTGGCTATAGCCCTACTGCATTTTTTGAATGCGTTGACAATACAATGAATATATTTCCTTTCTGGAAGAGTGGAAGTCTAATGTCTCTGGAGGTTTGTATTTGTGTGAATACTGACAGATTTGCAGCACTTTTTTCTTCAATCTAAACCCGTTATACATGCATAAGGTTTTTTGTTGTCAAGGTGAGTCGGGTATGATCATCTAGAGATAAAAAGGATTCAAGCAGGTGTGAGGACACGTGTTTCCTGTCATAGGCCAGATTGTGTCCGTCACAAGACCCTTGGGAAACTCCTATAGGATGTATATTTACACACACACATACAGACACGCAAAAAGACATGGACTTAAGTGTGATTGTGTGGCTGTTGTTATATTCCTACTTCAAATAACTTGTACAATATCAGCTCAAGGAAATGTTTTAACACTTAGTTCCTTTTTTTCAGCTTGTATACTACAATCTTTCAGAACACACGGTTTTAATCCTAAAGTCAAATTATTGTATGCTTCAGTCTACATTCCTCACTATAGATTAGGTGGTGCTTGTATTCTGAAATCTCATCCATAGGTGACGTTTTGTTCTCATAGTCATTCTTCTGGACTTTGCAGTACCAGATAGAGAGGCCCAAATCATGCTAAAGGTTCCATGAGCTTCTGAAACACAGCGATGTGAAATGGCATTATCCCACCGCCTCTCACACCGTCCACGCAAAATGGCTTAAGCCGCAGCAATGCTTCCGTGGGCCACTGGCTAATCCCCTTTCTTGTATAAAACCAGTGGCGGGACCGCACATCGCTGGGCAGTGCGATAGTGCACTAGTGTGACAAGCCATTAAAGTGCCGCTCTGTCTGTGTTTTTATTTACATTCTTGTCTTTCAGATCCACCGCAGAGCTTTTATTCTTGCCAGCGATCACTCTGGGAAGGTACTCTGATCTGACACCCACAGGCTGCTGTTCTGCCGATGCTCTTTTGCATCAGACATAATGAGATGGGTAGGGCGGCATGTTTTGATGGGGGTGGGCATGCTAAGGTTGCGTCACATGTGCCATATCTATTGAATGTAAATTCAGTAAGAGGGTTACTTATGTTTGTATTCTTTCTTTCTCTATTTCTTACAAAGTTGCAGGGCAGTCATGTTCAAAAGGTATTGAGTCCTGTGTTAGAATCTACTAATGCCCCCTGGTGGCTTCAAGGATATACTGCAATATTTAAAAGTGTACATGGTTCTCATTAATAAGTGGTAAAATTTGAAGCAAACCTGTTCAAACATTTGACTTTTTTTTCACACTTCTGGTTCAACAGTTTTTACAGTATATGCGTTGTGCAAAATGTTAATTCTCAATGCAAACGGACCCACCTGGCCTTGATTGAAATGTGGTTTTGTTTCAGAGGTGCAGGAGTAACGCTGGAAACTCAAGCTGTTTGACGGCCTCCAGATCACCTTCAGTGCCTGGAGTGGGACTGAATTTCATCTCAGTCAAGGCGAAGAAAAGTGGCACCACTATACAGATCAGAAAAAAGTATGTCCATTGAAAAAAAAATCCACACATAAAAAGGTGATTTGTCCAAAACTCAATTTCTAACATTTTTTTTAAATTGCAGAGCATTGAGAGCATTTATTTACTTCATTACTATTTTATAATTTTTGTTAATTTAGCAACCTGCTGATGTACTACACTGCAAAAAAAAAAAAAAAAAACCTAACCCTAACCCTAACCTCTTAATGGTTTTAATGTAACGCGTGTGCGTCGGCAGACTGATGAAGAAAAAGACCCAATACAAAAAATAAAGATCCAATACAAGGTTTAATATAAGAATCCAAACTTGCATACATCCAAACGAGACCGGACAAACTCAAAAGAACACACATAAACTTAAATACTAACGATAACGAGATGAACACAGCTGAACCAATCTAACTAATCATAGTCACCAGAAACTAAAGAGTGGCGGGAATGTTGACAAATGAATACATGTGCTGAATGAAAACAAACTAAAAGTTATTGAACTGAATATAACTAAACATGACTGTGACAGTACTCCCCCCTCGCGGCCTCGCGCTGTAACAGGGCAACAGAGGGATTGCCGGAGGGGGCTCTGGAGGTGGACCAGGTGATGGCGAGTTGATGGTGAGAGGCTGGAGTGACGGGATTGTGAAGGGATGAGGTGGAGCCGGCGGGATGGAGGGCAGAGGTAACCCCGAAGAGGAGGAACGTAAGTCCGTGGCGGAAACAGTGTGACGACTGACCAAAGGGGGCCGACAGGACGAGGGGATCCAGTGGAGTCGAAGGTGGTAGGAGCCAAGTTGGAGCCGACAGGTCGACAGGCCGAGATGGAGCGAAGAGAACAGAGGCTCAACGTCACAGGGACTCCCCGGAGATGTCGCAGGTAGACATCCGGCAGCGGTGGGGCTGGAGGACTGGAGGCCACAACACTTGACAGACAAATGGTAAGAGAAACAGTCATTGTTGCTTTCCAAACACAGCGATGATGAAAGTACCGGGGGGATAGGTGGGAGTTGATAACTCTTCATTGAAGTTAATCAGCCTGTCCTCATTCTCCGTAGATACCATTCCCTCGTCTGCTGATGTCGGGTCGGGTCGGGGGGGTGGGGGGGTGGGGGATTATGGGGGGTGCTGGATGGCAAAGGCAGGCTAAATATACACATTAATTGCGCAGATATTAACATAAATAAATTAGGGCTGGGCAAGGATTAATCACGATTAATCGCGATTGCATGTGTGTGCATTTATATATACAAAATAATTATACACACTACACACACATATATTATGTAAACACAAACTTTTAATTTGGATTCCCAGCCCTAAAATAAATACATAATATTCAAGAAAAAGAAACATGAATAAGACATATTCATGTTTCCTTTTTATTTATTTTTATCATTGCAAAAATTAACTAGATTAATCACACATTTTTTTTCTGTGATTAATCACGATGAATCGCCAATCGCCATAACATTTTTAATATATTTTAAAATGTAATAATTTCACAGTTAATCTCCAAATTAATGTAGAAACAACATAAAAGGTAGAAAATATACAGAAATTTTATAAAGTTATCAAACAGTTTGCACTGCATACATTTTAAATTATATAGATTAATCGTTATTAAAGTTACAAAAGTTCTTTAAAGTTAATTAAAATTATTTAGTCAAGAGCAGTGAGTGTTTTTCTCTGTTCCATTTGTTCTTTGATTAACTTTACTGACAGAAAGCTTTCTTGGGTGCTGTCCCTTTAAAACAAGCCGCTGCTGCATGTGGATCTGCATGACGTGCCTATTCTCTCAACTCTAACTCTTTACCTAATTTATTTACCTCATTTAAGACTGCTCAGTCTGCTCTTATGAGGATGCTCGACAAAACTGACATGTTGGCATAATTGTGTGTGTTAGTGTTCGGTCAATTTCAAGCCGAAAGATAACTCAATTCTGGCGCTCAATTTGTCTTGGCTTCAATGGTTTAAAAGCATTTGCATGAATAAGAGCGCATCATATAATGCAACGGCAGGTAAAAGATGACAGAAAAAACGGTTGCCTCGTTAATTGCGTTAAATATTTACCACTGAGTCTTCTCTTCCCATTTCTACCAGTGACGCCAAATTCCCGCGGCCGAGGTTCCTGCACCGATATCAACAGAGCAACTGGGTTGTAGGTTGCCAGGTTGAGCTCACAAATGGGTTGAAATTTGTATGATGTATTGATTGTGCGAGTAGGATGCGTTTCATACAAGATCTGGCAACTGGACAACCTTGGAATAATATATTGATGTGATTATTCATATGACGTTTGGGCCATACAAATTACGGGAGTTTCATGGGAGAAATAACAAAAAACGGGAGGGGGGCGGGAGATGGGTGTGATATGCGGGAGACTCCGGGGGAAAGCGGGAGTGTTGACAGGTATGATCGGGACACGTCGCTCTCCAGACACCTAATGATAGTCTCCCTCCAGTCCAATCCGGTGGTGTCTGGGAGGTCAATTGGGTGATGGAAAGTTGCCTTGATCCAGAACAACGTCTTCAGGTTCTCGTCGTCAAGGGGGCTGGAGACGACGAGACAACAAAAGTCCTTGAACCAGCCTGGTGCAAAAAGTAGTTTTGGTCTACATATAGCTAATTTTGCCCTTCATGACAACTGTGAGGGGGGTGATTTTTTTTATAACTCACCCGTTTAAATTATATTAAGCCTAAAAGTTCTGCATAATTAAGGGCGTGGCCACTTGCGGGACAGGTGGATTGCCTCTGCTGTCACTACTAGCCGTTTATCTGCTGTCTGTTAGCTGTCACCTCAGCTAATCCCGCCTTTTTGCCCATTTTCGTTTATCTGGGAGTGGCGCGCTACAAAGATGGGGGCGAAAAATGCTCTTCACTTTTTACAATCTATAAATACTCCCAGTCAGCGGTGTTGAGAATTTACCAACAGTGGTCTGACAAACCAAACCGGTCACACACAATTTGAATGATGGTTATGGGAGGAATGTGTCACAACACACAGTACATCACACTCTGATGTAGGGCTGTGTAGCTGCAGACCAATCAGAATGTCTATGATGACCCCTGTTCACTGTCGAAAGTGCCTACAATGGGCACGCAAGTGTCGGAAGTGGACTTTGGAACAGTGGAAGAAGGTCACCTGGTCCGATGAGTCCCATTTTCTTTTACATCACGTGGACGGCCATGTACGTGTGTGCCGTTTACCGTGTGCCAGAAGTGATGGCACCAGGATGCACTGTGGATGACAAAAAGCCTGTGTAGGGAGTGTGATGCTCTGGGCAATGTTCTGCTGGGAAACCCTGGATCAGGCCAATCACGTGGACGTAAATTTGACACGTGCCACCTTCCTAAAAATTGTTGCAGATCAGGTACACCTCTACATGACAATGGTGGTCCCTGGTGGAAGAGGATCCTCTTTCAGCAGGATAATGCACCTTGCCACACATTGTTCAGGAATGGTTTGAGGAATATGATGAAGAGTTCAATGCATTGCCCATTGCCAAAAACTAATTTCCACATGTAAATTGCATGATAAACACAATGGCCCTCATTTATCAAAAGTGCGTACACCAAATTTCCAGCGTACACCTGGTGTACACCCAAAACCACGGTGACTTTGAGATTTATCAATATGGACGTTGGCGTACGGCACGCTCAAATCCTACGCCAGCTCACGAGGTGGTGTACGCACATTTGAGTTAGTGCGGAAATGCGCAGAAAAATAATTCCTAACACCACAAAATGCACTGACAAACTAAAAGATATTATATATTATGACCCACTGTAAAACAAAAAAACAACAACATAGTAATTATAACCTTCAGTGTTTATTTTTGTGCAACATGGACTTCAATGTTTAATTTGTGTGACTTTACCAAAGCATTTGATTTGTATAAGCATATGTATTCCTTCAGTTGCGAGCCTGTGCGCTTTACCCTGACGTTTCATGGTTAGGCCGGCAGGTGCGCACGGACTGGGTTCGGTAACGAAAGGTTTTCAATGACCAAAAAATAATATAATAAAAAATACATTCTTCATCTTTTAAATAATAATAATAATACAAATAATAATAATGACATTATTCTTCTAAATAACAATAAGCGTCATTAATAATACAAATCATACTAAGAAGAATATTACAAATTGTCATGCAATTATTAATGTAAATGAATGGTACTCCACATCACATCATCATCATCACTATTGTACACCCCAATACATGTAACGTGATTCGAAATTGAATGCTAATTCAAAAGACGTGCTGTAAAATATTGCATTGTGATAGGTCATTTCGGCTCCACGTCAGAGAAGTTTCTCTTCTTTGCCGTCTTCCGTGTGTCCATGGCGTAAAATGAGGGCGTGGGGGAAGCGGAGACTTGAATATATAGGGGCGTGTTATTCTAATGACGATCGTTTTCAGCCGCGGCATTTATCAAGGGCAGGTATTGCGTACACCTGGATTTCAAAGGTACGCACAGCTTCATAAATCAGGCGGTGAGAGGAGTGTAAGCATAATCTTACGCCAACATATACGCCCGTTTCTACGCAAGAATGATAAATGAGGGCCAATGTGTGCTAGAGAGACGTATTTTCATGAGATCAGGCTGTGGTGCCAGATACCACAGGACACCTTCAGGGGTCTTGCCTCGGCGGGTCGGTGCTGTTTTGGCAGCAAGAAGAGGACCACGATTTCTTGATACAATCTATAAAAACTCATTAACAATATCTTTTTATTATAGTGTGTCTTAAACGGAAAGTCAACAATGAAAATTCAGATATATATATATACTCACACTCATGTTGTTTGCAACCTGTATGAGTTTCTTCTTCTGAACACAAAATATTGTTTTGAAGAATTTGGGTAACCAAACAGTTTTGGTTAGCATTGGCATCCAGTAACTGTTGGTAACTGTTTTGTTTCCAACATTTTTCAAAATATCTTCTTTTGTATACCACAGACAAATTAATTTAGGTTTGGAATGAC